GCCTGGAAACGGTTTCCTGGACGCTTGGTAGGGGCGCGGAGTTGGCTTGAAACGCGCTGTGAGCCGGGGAAGCAAGCGAAAGGTATTGAGCGTATTAGGTTGCAAACGTATATTGGCGCTGTGATAGCGAATGCTTGTTCCTTGAGAGTCAGAGGAAAAACACCTATGAAAGTGTCTTTCCCGCTATAGCGAGCGTGGCGGGGGAAGCAAGCGAAAGGTATTGAGCGTATTAGGTTGCAAACGTATATTGGCGCTGTGATAGCGAATGCTTGTTCCTTGAGAGTCAGAGGAAAAACACCTATGAAAGTGTCTTTCCCGCTATAGCGAGCGTGGCGTGGACTTTGCCTTTGTTTTTGAGGGGGTAAATAAGTCACTCTCTCAATTCTGTCTTGGAGAGCGTGTGTAGCTTTTGCATCCCTGTTGCAACTTCACTAGTCCCGAAGACAAGCGCACGGTTTGCCTGTGTTTGTGCACGACGTTGAGGTTACGTGATTGGGGAACGCTGGGAAATAGGCGCTGCTCTTTGTTCCAGTTATAGGCCTTCCCTTTAAGATGCAAAGTTGAAGCTGCAGCACACGCTGCTGCTCAAATTCATCCCATCCGGAGATGTGGTAGTCAGAGACAAGTCTGCACTGAGCAGACACGTGTTGATTGTACTGACTTCTCTCTCTTTCACGGCGATAAAGGCACGTTAATGATTGGTATCAATAGCATTTACATCAGCAGATACATAGCGTTTGATACTCCCCCCCCGCCCCGTGCACCAGTGTAATGTGAAAAGCTTACAATCCAAAATTTGGGTTCTGCACACTAATTCTGTTGCTGAAAGCTGTTTATTTAGTGCTTGGCCTTTGGACAGGCAATTATTTATTGGATCACACTGGTTGTTTCCGTCATTAGATTGTAATCTCCTCTCATCTTAGGAGAAAATTGGGAGAAAGTAGTTAGTTCTGTAGCGGTTGTTTATCTTTCACATGCTTCTTGGATTTACTGCAGATCTCATTCAAGTGGCTTTTCTCACCTGCTCGTATGAGTTGGCGATAAGAAACGTGACCTCCCCATGGTGTTCGCTCTTCAATGAAGAAGATGCCAAGGTGGGTGCTGAATGTTAAGGGGAGAGATAGTTGAGAAACTTTTAAAAAATGGCTTAGCGTTCAGATGCAGCTTCTGACTGTGCGGATAATAATTATTAAGTTCTGTGCCTGTTATTCAACCTAATGAAGCACTTTGTCTGGTCTCCAAAGAGCTCTGGATTAATCAAACAGCAAGAGAATTAAGTACTGCTGTAGCCTTGATTTGTCCTCGTTAAAATAGTCTTTTACTGTTGTACTTAACTCATAGGATGCTTTTTTTCCTGTAACTTCTGAAGAGGTCTGGACAGCTCTGCTTCACAAGTAATAGTCTCATATGATTAAAATGCCTTGATTCCTGAGGACTGGAGGATAGCAGACGAGGTCTTCTAGGCCCTCTAAGGCCCTCACCCCCCCCCTCCCCTTTTTTTTTTAAAGGGCTCCAGAACCCAACAGATATCCTAACCTGAAATGTCAGCTCCCTTACAGTAAAATTAATGAACAAAAAAAAACCCCTAATGCTAGGAATTTGTTAGAAAAGGAGAGCATCACTGTGCTGTTGTAGAAATACAAGGTACACATGTATCTTTTTGAGATGTGTGCAGTTTTGGTCTCTCACATCTCAAAAAGGGTAGAGTTTGACAAAAATATGATTAAGGGTTTGGCATTGCTTCTGTTTAAAGAATGACTAACTAAGCTAACTAAATGTTTTCAACTGTGAAATCAGAAATTATACGGAAGTGGTGAATAACGATTGTTTTGTTCTGTCTTGTCACATACCATAACTAATGGGTACTGAATGAAGCTAGCAGGGGACAGGTTCACAACAAACAGGCAGATTTGCTTTTTACACAGTGTGCAGCAAAGCTGCAGGATATTATGAATGCTAAAACTTGATAGGAGCTCAAAGGGCAGATTGGATGAATTTGTTGTTGAGAATGCACTGAGGTCTGCTGAATTTGTAGAAAACCACCTTGGGCCTCAAAGCCCTAACCTGAAAATTATTGGAGTCTGGGGGAAAAATGTGTGTGTGGTCTTTTTCTCTAGGCCTGGTTTATGAGCATGGTTAGAGACAAGATAGGAAACTTGGCGGATCTCATCCATTGTGTCTGTTTTTATGCAGCACATAGCAGAAAGCTGTTTGAGCTGGAACCTTAATTTTTTTTTGTTGTTGTTAAAGAATTGTTGATTTTATGCTGTAGTGTCTCCAGGCTGTGTTTTTCTTTTCCTCTGTGCAATAATAAAAACTTGTGACCTGTGTAGGTACTGGAATATCTGAATGACCTGAAGCAGTACTGGAAGAGAGGATACGGCTACGAAATCAATAGTCGCTCCAGCTGCAATTTATTCCAAGATATTTTCCAGCAGTTGGACAAAGCGGTGGAAGAGAGCAAAAGGTAAATAAAAAGGCTTTCGGGCTTTGGCTGGAAGCTTTCTGTGGTTGATCCTGAGTTGGATTTCATGTGAATAGAAGTTAAGCATTTCACATCCAAAGATAACTGAGTGGTTGAGCTCAGTTAGAAGAGTTTGTAATAGAGAGACTCAAACCCCTTGATAGAGCAGTATTACTCTAAAGAGTGTGTTTTTCCCTCCGTTGATGCTCTTGTGCCCAGCTAGTTCCTTTCCGTGTTTAAACCTATTGAACCACACGGGCCTTCAAGCGGCCGCTAGGTGCTGTGTCTGATAATGGTGTTCTCTGCCTGGTCAGTTGGAGACGATCAGCTTGAAACAGTTAACTTTTTGTTTAAAATGCCCTTATTTTAAAAACTTCTGTGATAAAACAGAAGACTATGGGATGAAAAAATCCCCATAGTACGTTCTATTACCTGGTTATTTCAGTACTTAAACGTAGAAATCTTGCCTTCCTCCTGCGTGTATTTATTTGGAGTCTATTGTGCTGTTAAAGCTCTCAGTTCAGACTAAAGATGCTGAAATGAAAATACGGAAAAATAATCATCCTAGATTGATCACTTAGTGACTCTAGACCTTAACTAAGTGTTGCAGAATCCAAGAGGCCTGAGCTGTAATAGCAAACCGGCCTTTTTCACTGAAACTAAGGAAGGACAAAATTTTAGGTGATGTACTCGGTACCCTTTAAAAACTGGAGACGGTAGGCACTTCACTTAAGGCACTTCAGAATTTTTTTTTTTTGTTACATGAATCCAAAGTCTGTGGTTCAGCACAGGCAGTCCAAGAACACTGCCTAGGATATTTACTATTTTCACATTCTTTTTCTTCTGCAGCAAAAATGTAGTTTTAGAAATAGTACTGTAGCAGTAGGGAGATCTTAAGCTGTACAAGTAACTATTAGTAGACTCAAGTCTTAACCACATGTCTTCAAGGATGTTGATCCTATAAAGTGATTTGTGTTCACCTAGTTACATCAATTGACAGCAGTCACCGCTGGAATAGCGACTGGTGGTTTAGTCCTCGGAAATGGCTTTCTAGTGCCATGGAGATAACCATACCTGTACTTCCTTAAAAATGAAAGTTGAGATGTCTGTGCTGTTTTTGGTATGGTTAACGCTAATGAGCTGGTGTCAGTCATCAGTAGTGATTCAGTATCTGTTTGGTCTTGTTCTTGTCCTGTGTGAATTCATATGATGGGGAGAACTAAAATGGAAATGAAACTTAAGGGATCTATTGTGGCATGGAAAAAACGATTATGAAAACAAAGGCATCGGTAGAATTAGTGTGGGACATTTTTATGTTGCAGAATTACAGACGTGTACTTTCATGTGCCAGTAACCTAATTTTTTGAGAGCTGCTTGGCTCAAATACAGTGTGCTCATATGAGGATTAATTTGTAACGCTTGTGAATGTTCCTCACGCGAACTGAGGAATTAATAAATTCATAGTTTAACAATTAATCACATGGATTAATACTTTAGCAGGTAAGTGTGGAACTGTTTATAGAAGTAAACGAAATCAAGGTTATGATCTTCAGATTGTATATGTCCTATGCCTTTAAATACTTGATAGAAACCATTTTTTGGCTAACTTGGAACCAGCAAATTCAGCTTTGATATTAATATGTAAACATCAATCATGTGATGGGTCTTTATGCATTCCTAGCATCCTTGGGACTTCACTTTTGTATTCAATATATTAAAAAGATCTAATGTAACAGGATGATATTAACAGATTTTTAAATTTCAGACACAAAAGTGTGACTCATTCTAAGCAGCCTGGAGCATCAATGTTTTTTTTTTTTTCCACTTGGTAACCTATTTAGAAACAGTATTTTCCTTTTAGTTGGCAAACTAAAATTAGAAATAGCATTCATGTTTTGGATCAGAGGAGTAATTCATAAAGTTGATTTTAACTGTTTGCAGCAGAAAAGGCATCAAAGAAGTTGTGTCCCTTAAAATGTTCACTGAGTGAGGAGGATCTAACTTAGACGTTAACAATGATATAAGAACTAAGCTTTAAGTCAGTTGAAACGTGGTTCTCTAACACTCGGTTGACTTCTTTGCCGTATGTTAATGTAGGACGCAGAAAGATACTCTGTATTCATTGCTGAGTGATAGAGAACATTGAGAACGTGTTTGATATGTGGCATGGTTTCTTTTATCTGAAATGGAGTTATCATTGGTTGAATAGTAAAAATACTGTGGATCTTAAAATTACCTTTGGGGGTCACCTGGAAAATCAGACTGATAAGTCTAATTTTGACAGTATCAGCTCAATATGCGAGAAGTTAAATGCATTAACTGCATTAAACTTAAATGCATTAAACACTTTTTGAGGCTTACCTGGAACTTGGAGCAAAATCAGTTGGGATGAATTTGTCAGCCTTTACAGAAATCTTCTGCCAAATACCATATAGTAAATGCTAATATAAGAAACGGGAGTTCAGTTTGTTTTTCGTGCATTTAAGCTTTTGCCCATCATAATCTGCTTATTGGGTTTTTTTTTTTTTTTTGGCCTTGTGCTTTGAGCAAATACCAGGGCGACTGCGTGGGAAATCAGCCTGGAATGTAATGCCAGTTGCCACTCATCCAGCGTGTGCCTAAGTCCCTGCTCGCAAAACTGTCATCCAGACCGGTTCCTTGATTCAGCTCCAGTGGCTGTACTAATACAGGGGACGGTGCCATGTGGGGTTGGAAATGACAGCTAAGGATGGGAGCATACGGGACTGTTGCATTGTGCGACAGCGCTGTTCAGTGGTCTTTCTGAATCTAATGCATGCCAGCCGGCACAAAGACCGCTCTGCTTATTTTGCCATGAACGAGTTAAAAGTTGGTGGTTGCAAACATGAAGCTTGGCTTGGGGGAGGAGTTGCTGTGAATGAAGGGTGAGTAGGAAGAAAAGGCTGGTGATAGGAACCTCTTCTGCAGCCAAGTTTGGCTTAAGAAATTGTGCTGTGAAATGATCACTCAGGTTTTTGGAAATTTGATATAGTCTGGGATTCTGTGATCTTCCTCGTTTCAGCAGCGGTGGAGTCAAAGCTGTGGTTATGTTAGATCATTCTTTAAATAAAGGTCTTCACTGCTTCCTTTCTTCAGCCTGCTAGGGAGCTAAATAAAAAATACATTAGGCCACAGGTCATTAACACCGAACTGTGAGCAGACTGTCAAGTGCGCTGCTGTGATTGCCCTTGTCATAGGCTATGTCTCTCTCTCTCTCTTTCTGCGAAAATAAAATGAATACAGAAAATAAGAACTGGGAGTGAGAACAGAAATAAAAGGTTAAAAGAAACAGACAGGCAAGAGCCCCCAAACCCCTCTATCCTTCTGAAAACTGAAAAATAACCTCTTAATGGAGCTTGACTCGGGACAGGAGAATAATCTTTTCAAATTTGTTTGCCTTTAGTGTCTTTGTTTGAGCAGTGACAGTCTTGCAGGTTTTAATCCTTATGTTATATGCCTTTGTCAGAGCTCTGTGTTTTAACTGTGTATAAGATATTCTTGTAGCTTTAATGGAAATAGAGTAGTTGACCAAATCCGCATCTGTACTTCTGAGTTATTGAGAGCTAGCTCAGCAGAGGGAGAGCAGATGTTGGAGGCAGGGCACTGAAGAACCAAGACAGTTTCATCCTGTTTTTTGGCTCTAGTCCTAAAAGTTCAGCTCTTAAGGGAAGCAGGTAGCAAGTTTATGCACCTGTGGAAGGAATGAGGACACTAAAAATCTTGCAAAGCTTGGAGTTGCACGAGCGGTGTGTTTACACATGTGTCTTCCTAAGTGGTAAATGAAAGTGTTTTGCCCTGTACAAAAGGAGCATGCTAGTCCATCCCACAACATAAGATGGCAGTCTTAAAGCACTAAAGTCTGAGCATAATCTTAATTAGATCACCTGATGCATTTCAAAATAAGTGGAGATCTGCCACTGCTGATCTATTAGTACAGCTTGTGTCTCTTGTGAGCTACAGAGAGGAGGTGCAACTGATGCTGTATCATCTATAGAGACGCTAGTCCTGGATCTAGTGGTAACTTGAGAGTACAGCTGAGAATGAGAAGCCACGCAAATGAAAAGTATACCTTGTTTATAACACTAGGAAATGTTTGATCATGCATGTGTGTGTACATGTATGTCTTTTATGGTGTAGCACAGCTTCAAGGCAATGGGTAAAATGCTTCTGCAGCAGTGCATTGTTCAGAAAATCAACCTTTGTGATGATGCAATGTCTTTTAGTCACATGTTGTTTCAGTTCAGCTCTGTTTAACGCTAATTTGTAATTGACTATTTTGTTCTGGAAACTTGAGAAGGACAGATTTACTTACAGAACCTTATTTTTGGTCCAAGTTCTCCTTTCTTTTTGGAAAGTTTAGGTTGGGCTATCCAAAAGCAGAAAAGGGAGTATTTCTGTTCATCTGCTCGTTCATCATACAAATTGTGATGGAAACAGTTGATTCAAAGTACTAATAGCCTCTTCTATGTAGATCTTGCTGTACAGTAGGGTGTATTTGAAGGCTGCGAAAGAGCTTTTCCCTTTGTGCTTGCCCTTGTCACCAGTCTCCATCCAGAGAACCACTGGAAAGGTATTGGTATCAGTATTCAGGAACCGGGGCCTGACACTGAGTTTACCAATAGTTGTATTGGTGACCTCTTACTGTTAGCACACCCGTTCATGGACCTTGTCCTTCGGCACCCACTGTAGCAATAAAAGGTAAATGTCTAGTAAAGGTAAGTTCTTAAGTAAAAAAACATCTCTTCCTTGGGGCCTCATGATAGTCACAGTGGGCCTTCCAGGACCACTGTCCTCCTTGTCTCCTTGCCTGTCTGATGGTAAATGTAGCGGTCACGCTTCTAGGCAAAGGGTGGGGGGCTCATAGTCCTACTAGTGCAGCCTATCTCGTGCATAAAACAGTTTTTTAATTACAAAAAAGAAGAAAAAAGTATCAAGAGGAGTTTAATATCGTATTAAACCAGGTGATTTGTTTCACTGAAATGGCG